AAGACACGCAGAGACACACACAAGCCCTGGACACGCAGACATACACAAGCCCTTGACAAACACCTCTTTCCGTTTGTGAGAACCTCCACTGGATATTCACACATACTGACATAAAACGAAAAGACTAATCATACAGATAACGCGCTGCAAACAACAAACAATAATAATGAAACCAATGAGACCATAAACACAAAACAATCAAAGCATCAGCCAAGAACAAGATCAGCAGGATGAGAAGGAAGAGTACCATAAAGAGCTCTGTGCTCACCCTGCCCCCGTACTGCAGCATGGGCGCAGGCAACACACGCCCCGTCACATGGGCCATCTCGTCCCGCACCTTGAACTGGAACTCCTGCACGAAGGGGTCCGAGTCGTAATTGGCACTGCGCACCTGCGGGCACAGACCCTCATCAGCACAGAACCAACAGAACCGCTCACAAGCAAGGAGGACACCAGAGAGGAAGGAGAGAGAGCTAATAACAACAACACACGTTATGCTTCAAAACTCTTAAAGCACTGTGCAGTAGTACATGAGCAACGTGAATAAACAAAAAAACAGCAAAGCAGGGTCATCCAAGAAAACCAAGAGTAAACTAAGCTACACACTGGAAGCGTTAGGGAAAGTTGAAGCCTCCAAGTGTATTTTATAATAATAATAATTATAATTAATAATTGCTTACACTTATATAGCGCTTTTCTGGACACTCCATTCAAAGCACTTTACAGGTAATGGGGATCCCCTCCACCACCACCAGCGTGCAGCCCCACCTGGATGATGCGACAACAGCAATAGTGCGCCAGAACGCTCCCCACACACCAGCTCTCAGTGGGGAGGAGAGCAGAGTAGGAAAGGCAATGGTCATGGAGTGTCGACTTGGGCAGCGAGTTTCACAGACGTGGTGCTTGAGCACAGTCTGAATCACCAGATCGCACATTAAGTGCTGAATTGTTCTCTTGTAATAAGTCCTTAAGATATCCATTGCACAGCCCTGGCACTGAACAGGCAGCCCATTTCCAGAGAACTGGATTGCTGAAGCAGAGTGGTTTTAGTCACAGCAGAATTCAGGACAAACTGAAGCCAGTATAGTAAATTAGAAGATGTAATGCCAGTACTCTGAAATAAAGACGTACATCAATATGTCTGCATCAAAAGGACAAAGCAAGGGTCGTAACTAAGCAAGGTTAAGTAGGTGGACAAAACATGAGCTTCAAATGACAACACAGGGTGAAAAGTAACTGCCATTACTGGTCTGATCTTAGCACTGTCAACCACACTGAAGTGGGCAACTGTGCAATGATGCTGGGAGCCCATATGAGCACAACCTCCACTGATTCCAAAAGTTTACGTCGGAGAGAAACCAGTGTAGAAAGCACAAAGGCCCACTGAGGCGTAGGACACACAACAATGTTACAGTGCTCTGGTTCAGGAAGTGTTGGCTCTCGTGTGTGTCTATGAGCCCTGAGTCTCCGGGTTTCATCTTGCGGCCTGACGCAGAGCTCCACGCCCACATTCCACACACAGGCTCTAAGCACACTGTCGCCACCCCAGCTGTAGCTCCAAGCTATTCTTCCATCCTAAAAATGCTGCTCGAATTATTCCTCGTCAGATACCAATCTTCATTCCAGGCATGTCACTCTTTCACGCTTTCACAGGAACCCATAATGCTCTCTTCATTTTTGACAAACTGTTGATGGTTTTTTCCTCCCTCCGCATCCTCCTTCCCCTTTTGCACACAATACAGACAGGTCTCCCCTGCTTACAGAGGAAGTACAACAGTCACTTTCTCACCTCCTGCACTGAAAGAAGTGGCTGCTTGTCATTTCCTCTGAATGCCAGTTGGCGCATGTGTGCCACTGTCTAAGGAGCACCAAGACAAGAAGCAGAGTGGATGATAGGACGACACACCCTCCGCAGACTGGGCACAGAAGCCTCTTGCGCTTTTTAACATCCACTCAAAGCACTGAAACACAATTCACCTGGAAAATAGTCCAGACGCCACAGATACCAAACTCACCAGCCGGCTGATCTCCTCCTGCCTGTCGGGCGCAGAGCGCGCTGTGGCTTTGATCATGGTGGAGGTCTGGTTATCCGTCAGTTTCTTGATGCAGCGCTGCCCCGCCACAATGTTACACACCTGTGGGGCACAAGAGGGTCACTGCCTGTCCCCAGAGGGCGCAGCACTCAGAGCCAGGCCCCACTGAAAGACCTGGGCCCGACCTGGGCCCATCTCAGAGACCGATCCCTTGTTCTGGTCTGTTCCAGCACAGTGAGGTGACAGCTGAACCAGACTCATCTTCTAAACATCACTCAGAGACAGTATCTGGGGACAAATATTTTATATTTGTCTGAATGTGTCACATTTGTCTTCCTCTTGTCTGCTTTCTCTGCCTGTCTCTCACTCTTCTTGGCCAAAGTGCCACAGTCTCACAGCACAGTCTTGGGAAAAAGCAGAGAGTGAGGCTCAGTCACCAGTCTTACCTCCAGGGGCAGATAGGTGTGTTTCTGCTCCTGCCCCACCTGCAGGCAGGGCAGGTGAGGGTACTTCAGCTGCAGGTTGTACTTCTCTCTGAAGTACTGGGCCACCGTGCGCTCCACCGTCTGGCCGTTCTCCAGCTGCAGGGGGAACCTGAAAGTGAGACACAGGAGCTTGAGGACCTACAGGATGGCCTTCTGTGTGTCTGGAGTTCAGCAGAAACACCTCCTCCCTCACAGGCTCTGGCCATTCCCCACATTTCACGGCAGAGTTTCCAATCTGCGTGAAAGAAACTGAAACTTCCCCCACATTATTCTCAGCGGCAGTGGCGTTATCCCTGTCGAGAGCACGCGGGACTCCCCAGACTCACGTCTGGTGGCTGGCAGGACGGCGCGTCACGTTGCACACACGGTACTTCCGCCGCATGGTCCCGCAGTGCGTCACCTCCACCTTCAGGCCTGCGGGTTGCAAGGGCAGAGCAGTGAGACACAGGCAGGGACAGCGGACAGGAGAGGAAGACCGCGGCCCAGCCGCGAGGCCACACACACACCTTTAATCTCTTTGGTGAATTTGACCCGGTGAGAGTCAGTCAGAGGGCGTGGCTGCTCGTCGATATTGTGAATGTCCAGAACCTCGCACATGAACTGGATCACGGGCTGTGCTTTGTAGAAGGCAGTGGCCGACACTGGAGGGACAAGAGAGCCCATCAGCAGTGACCATCTCAGGCTGCGCATTATCACAAGATGGAGAGCAGTGCGGAAAGACTTCACAGGAAGCACAGGGGTTCTGAAGGGAACTATTTCATAAAAACTTAAATCGTTTTTTTTAACAGATAATTTAGGTTTTTGTACAGATTTCAGGCTGAGAGGTTCAGGAAAAGAAAACGTATTATTTCAAGTGGCAAACCAGTTTTCTGTTTGTAGGCAAAAACTTTTTGTCTTAAAACATAAGAGGAAAAAATGGTTAAAAACGTCAGCTTGACGTCCTGTCTCTCCAGACTGAGACAATCAGGAACGTATGAATCTCTTCTCCCGTAGCGTGTGGGACTGTGGAAACACCAGACTCACAGAGAAAGCGCTGAATGGCCATCAGGCACTCAAAGCTCTGCCATTCAGGGACCAAACAAAGACTGCCGCCTCACTGAGAAAGGAGGATCCGAGTCTGGCACCCAGCACCTCCGTCACTCTGCCACACACACAAATCCTCCCTCACATCTTTCGCCACTAAAGACCCTGTCCCACAGGCCCCTCTTTGTCACCACGGCAACCGCCCATGCACGGCAACAGCTGCCTTCCAGCTCAGGCCCTCTCCAGCACCCTCTACTGAACGTCTTCGGTACTACACCTCACCATCAATGTTGAGCATCATCTTCCACATGGCCGGCCTCACAGACTGGTGGAACCCGAACCACACCTCGCGCCCCCCGCCCAGGGGGTGGTCGTAGCCCTCGGGGGCAGAGAAGAAAGAGCGCCCCACTGGGGTGTACCTGTCCAGGGTGGAGGGAGACAGGGAAGGGGCTAGTTATGTCACAAAAAAACAGACAACATTGCTCTTTCACAAACTGAGGAACTGAGGCTTTCCTGCCGTGAATTAGAACCGTAATTGTGACAGTACAATCATTCCAGAGAGGCCCTCTGTACTATGAAGAGGGAGATCCCATCCACTAGATTTTAAAAAAGACCCTAAGTGATGTCTTTCCGGGCTGGCGGGCAGAAGCTCACTTCATGGAGGGCAGGTGACGGAGCACCACATCGACGGCGTGCACAGGGTTGGTGCTGATGGGCTTGTCCAGCTCCAGGGGCTCGGGCATGCTGCGCCCCGTCAGGACCTCGTGCAGCAGGTGCCAGCTGACCAGGGACACGAACTTGATGGTGACTTTGAAGGGCCGGTCCTTTCCCCCCTCCCCAGGCAGCGTCACATCCAGGTCCACCTACAACGAGCACATCAGGCGGTCAACACTAAGCCCCGGGGTCAGCTGGACCCAGCGCCCAGGTGACGGTCAACACTCAGCCCAGGGGTCAGCTGGACCCAGCGCCCAGGTGACGGTCAACACTCAGCCCTGGGGTCAGCTGGACTCAGCGCCCAGGTGATGGTCAACACTCAGCCCGGGGGTCCACTGGACTGGAAGCTACATCAATTTTGTAACCATGCAAAAACAGGACTTAATAAAATAAACCATTAATGGCAAATTGCTTTAACTTATCCTCCAAATTATAATTAATGGCTTTTATTTTTACTGAAACAAACAAATAAATATTTATTTTATATTAGTATCCCACCTTCCAGGAAGACCTGGAGTGTAACAGACATGTGCCAGGCTGTTTAAACAGAACAACACACATTGCTGTACAACACTCTTTATAACAGCATCTGCGATAGGAAAGAACGATGTGTACTAGCAGGCGGCGAAGGCAGGCCAGCCTGGCAAGACTCTCACCCCAGCAGGGGCCACAGGCAGCGGGTTGGCTGTGTAGAGGCTCCTCTTGCCATCGTAGACGGGCCGGCGGTCCCCGAAGATCGTCACCTTGAAGTGCTGCACCATGGAGTCCACCACCTCCCTTCGGGACAGACAGACACTGGCGATCAGGGCCTGGCTGAGCTGCCGAGCCAGCCAGCAGCACACAGGCGCCTCCGACTCCGGGGTCTGGATAACTACACCTGCACCTACCTGTTCACTTCACCCTCATCTAGCTTCGTCTGCAGCTGCCTGCTGGAGGGCTGGGTGACACGAGTGCTGCGCAGCCGTGCCAGGGGGAGGCCCCATCTCCACGGCTAACCCTATCGTGCGCGTGGCGCGGGGGACACGCTGCCCATACCTGTTGACGCGCCGCGGACACTTCTCAGGCTTGATGTCGACCTCGTAGAGGTACACGTCCATCTTGGGGATCTCCACCTGGAAGCAGTTGGCCAGCAGCTTGATGGGCTTCCCCATGGTGCCATAGCCGGGGCGCCGGGGCACAGAGAACAGGGACTGGGCCCCAACGGCTCCTGGAGAGAGGAGAGCAGCGTGAGGGCAGGCCAGTCCACGCCCACACAGGCCACACAAGCAACAGAGGGGGAACCCGCAAGGAGGGACTGGGTGTCCAGGATTAGGGGGACCCCACGTGGAGGTTGGGGTGTCCAGGATCAGGTGGGGGGACCATGGGAATGTGGCCCAGGGTGTGAATGTGCTTTCCTCCACATGCTCACTCAAAGCAAGTTAGGAAAAAAAAAAGAAAGGCCAGGAAATGTCTCCCTGGACCAGTAGTCGGGGGTTCTGTTCCGAGAGTTATGATTACATTAATATCTCTTAACTGGACAAAACAGCACAAGCACAGCCAAGAGCCACACAAACACAAAGCAAACCTTCAGCTTCCCAACACGGTACAGGGACTCTTCTTCAAATCAAACCACCAACTCACAGGTCTCCCCTTGTCGATCACAGCACTAGTCACACGTACTGTAGCTCTGTTCGATCAGTCCACACTGAGGAACAGCACCCTGTCTCCAGCCGCACAGAGACGTCACCCTCACATCCTCCACCCCAGCACACACCCCGCTGATCACTTCCCAGCTCTCCCTGTATTCCTCTGGAACACCCCTGCAGAGGCAGACCTTTCATCAGAACCAGCACAATCCCTTACTCAACCGGACAAACTCATTTTCCTCGACAGCCAACAGGCTTCAGCCACTGCTCCACAGAAGACAGAGAGCTGCAATGAACTAAGACAGGAAGGTCTTTTTTCAATTAGAGATCCATGAATTAATTTAAACCAGTGAAGCAGCCGTACAGAATGCAGAGGGCTGATCAATCCAAGAGTAAAAACTGCAATGATGAGAAAGACAGGGACAGCAGGTGATTAGTCTTATTGCAGGACGGGAAGAGATCAAGTTTCACAAAAGGCTGATCTGCAAACTGTGGACATTACTGCAGTCCAGGACAGGGTTGTGGGCATGTGAACTGGCATGCACACTGAGGAACACGTCAAACAGCTCTCGCTGCAGTAAACAAAACACCTGGAGAAAGACTAAAAGAATCATTCAGTTACTCACCGAGTCTCAAGTTGTTTAAATTTATATTTATTTGCTTAAAATATTATTTTTTACCATGACAGCCTAACTGCAAAGGCCAATAATATACAAGAAAATCCTTTCCTAACTTATTTCAGAATTTTCGATCCTGAGTGCAGCTGAAACGGACAAGTAAACAGCTCTCCTTGACAGAGCCTCCAGCCCTCAGACCACAGACTGTGGCCTAACATCCACAACAGAGCCGTGTCTGTGAGCTGGCACACATCATGAGTCTGTTCCAGCACAGCGCAGCGAGGTGGAAAAATCATCCTTATCTCGTCTTCAACTACAATCCTGGCAGATGAAACCAGGGACACTGTGTTTTGCAGAGTGCAGTCCAAGCTGTGGTTGCTGCTATGCTGTCACCTTGACCTCACTCATCAGAGATCGTGTCTAAAATCCTACAGTACCTAAAATCAGCCCTTCTGTGTTTCATATGGGAACAAAATAAAATAAAACTTTGACCCAGAGAAAGAAACTGTACTGGGGGTCTTTGCTGTGCATGTCTATACTGACATCGGCTCTGTGCCGCCAAGCCAGCAGAAGCACAGCAGCCTCAGTTCTGGCAGAGAGCTGATCCACTCAGGATTCTCACACCCACCTCTGCCACCTCCCTACCACTGCCCTCTGGAAAACTCAAAATGCACTTGGGATATTTTGATTCAGACTCAAATAAGCATCTTATTAACAAGCTCAGTGCTGCGTCTGACACAGGTAGAGGGGCAGACCTGGGCAGGGGCAGGACACGACTCCCTGCACCTCCACCCTAGCAGGGCTCGGCAACGAGGAGCCCCAGGGAACCGCTGTCTGCCCCCAGAGCTACTCCAGGCTTGGCTCTTGGGCCTGCGAGTTCACTCTGCTCACTCAGTAAAAACAAAGGCTTCAGTCAGAGCGAGTCCTGCCCAGACAGGGGAGAGGGGAGAAGCAGGGCGACACACAGTCATCGCTCAGTGGAGAGGTGTTGTTCCAGCGAGGTGATTTCCCTCGGTACGTACAGCCTCCTCCTCTCTCCCCATGTCAACGGCCCGCTCTGTCTCCGTGCCAACGGCACCCACAGGCCTCCACGTCACCATGGCAACCGGGTGTTCTGCAAGGGGGGGTGA